GAATAGTTGGTACTGTTCTCTCAAAAATACTACAGGCACAAATATTATTAGAATATATATATTCTTGAATGGGGACCTATTATATTTTTACTTGTTACAAAAAGTCCCATGCTGATATTAAGCTTGGCCAACGTTTCAATTAATGAGGTAAACTTTTGTAAAAGTAATCCATCTGAGCAAATATCTCAGGCTTCAAACTGTTCTGAATGCTCTGTTTCCACTTTTTTCTGCTTTTGAGACAGGTGACTTCAGATTGTGACCGATTTCTTTATATGGTCATCTGCTTCAGGCACATTACTGCAGCTGTGTACATTACTTAGCCTACACTGCTACATGTAGCTACATGCTAACATCAGGGAAACATGTAATCTTGGTTGCCAGTGTTGTAATTTCTCCCAAATTTTGGATCATGTACCTGCTGGAACATGTCCTGTTATGTTAAGAAGCTTTTATTGGAGATTTTTCATGGTAGAAATTGCCGCTATATGCTACCCCATTACAATGGTTGAATCCAAATGTCCATCCTCTGGACTTGCAGACTGAGCCCTCGCAGACTTAAGTCATACGCACTGTGATGAGTTCACCATCACATAAAGCCCTAAACACTTCCAGACTTCCCAGGAATGTGCCTGCAAAGTCTGGAAGAGCCTGCAAGTGCAGTGAAGTCCAGACATTTGGAGTCAGCCAGTTGTTCCCTGGCTGCAAGTACACTGCTACATGTAGCTACATGCTAATACCAGGGAAACATGTAATTTTAGTTGCCAATGTTGTTAATGTCTCCCAAATTTTGGATCATATTTGTATTGGAACATGTCCTGTTGTGTTTAGAAGCTTTAATTGGAGAAAGTAGAAAGTGCCGCCATACTCTGTTACATTCATTTTCAGATGCTGAGATAGAGACGACCCAGAAGCACTGACCAATCAGAGCAGACTTGGCTTTTTCAGGAGGGGGGGTTCAAAGAGACAGATGCTAAAATGGCTTGTCTCAGGCAGGAGGTGAACACAGGTGTTCCAGCTCAGACAGTATGAGGAAAATAAAGTGTTTTTTGAACATTAAAGAACATAAACATAAACATGTTAGAAAACCCAAAATGCAAGTATTAATCTGAAAATGAGCATAATAGGTCCCCTTTCATTTCTGTCACAGCTGAGGTCAACATAAGGATATGGGTACGCAGCATGACCTCATGTCTACAGAGCCATTGACGGTAACAGTAGAAGTCTCTCTGGAGAATTCACAGCGAATCACAACACCATTTCTTCAGGTGACTCAAACATTCTGCTTCTCATTACTTGGTGGAAATACGATGATGTCACCTCATATTCACTTTGCAGGGTTACCACCCTACACAAGGGACTATAAAGGTCAGGGGTCAGGGGAGAACTAAGCTGGCAGTAAGTGCTTTGCTCAGTGACACTAACCCGAGACACAGACCTGAAACAATCCTCTTTTTGTAGCTTATTGTTCCTTTTTTTCTGTCAGAAAGGTGCTGATTCCACACAATGATAATATGCAAACTGCAGTCTGCGGTCTTTTGCTAAATAGCTTTATATTATAAGGCACTTACATTATATTTTTCTTCCAACTATTGCACCAAAGCTTCACAAAGACAGCATTTATTCCAGGATTATTATAATGGACTGCAAGTATACTCTTGTATGTGGAGGTCAATGGACAGACACATACCACTTAATCTATTCATGCAGATGGGAAATGTTGAGGAGCAATCATGTTGACATAACTCACTTCAGTTCTTCATTGTCTGTCATTTCCATACAGTTCTTCTCTATGTGACCTTTGTGCATTACTACATCTTTTGTAAATCAGCTGTGGCTGTCTTAGATTAGATACTGAAGAGTTCAGTCAGATAAACCTTTTAAGATGTTTACCAGCCTTGGTGCTACAAAGAACCATTTCTGAAAATGTTCGGCCATCATGTGGATTAGATTCTGTATAAAATCAATACACATTAATAGCTATAAATACACACTGATGTGGAACAGAACTTTATGTCTTTAGAAAATACTGAATAATGCTGACTGTTGTAACTTGTCAAGCGCTAAATCTGATACATCCCTCTGGCTAATCTTTCTTCGTCTCTCTCGCTGACCTGCAATTGTTCCCTCAGTGGAGCAAACGCTTTTTTATGTAGTTTTTTTTTTACATACTCCTACTTCTTTTCTGTGTTTCGGCTGCCTCTCCATTCACAAGCTGAATGAGACTGGAGTGATTCATGTAGCAGCAGACGTTGCTGGATCGTGGAATGCAATCACATTGTTTTGTGCAAACTGACGCAATCAAACTGCAAGCTGAGGGTTCTCGACCACAATTTGTCACTCAGCGGCGTTTTACTGGTCTGAATGTCTCTTTTTAATGGACTACATTTGTATTAATTTATTACATTTGTATTCCATTGAAGGCAGACATTGCACAGAGAAAGAATCTAATATTAATAGACTAACATATAACAGACATAATGGGTTTATGGCACTTTAGTTAGCAACACTGTTGTTTTTCCTCCAACTCTAAAAGAGGATGTTGAATAGAGATGATAGCATAGCCTAATTATAAGTGTGTTTGTGCAAGCTTTTAAGAGGACATAAGCTTGTCCACTTGTTGTAGCAGACTCTACTAAAGACAGATCGATGAGAGTGCATTTTAATGCATTTTTCCCGGACAGGCTCCAGCACAGTGATGCACATCACTGGCTCTGAACTCCGACTGCTCTGGCTTTACAGGAAGCTTCCGTCCCATAAGACTGCTGATGAGCTTGTGCAAATGTCATTGACTGTAAGGGCAATAAAGTTACACAGAGCTGCCCGACTGAAAAGACACTCTGTGCTTGATCACTTCCTCCTGCGTGAGCTGCGACGACAAGCTGCACAATGAGAGTAAATCATTCTAAATGTGACCTAAACCACATTGTGTAACATGGGACTTTAATTTCAGTGACTTCGATGTAGGAGCTTGATTTTGAAGGCTGTAATATCTGCACCACTTCCATCACAACACTATAAAGCATACTAGTAACATCCTGGACTATGACAAGCACCTAGCAGTGGCTAGTAATATTCCACATCACCTCAGACTCTTGCAGTAGCTGTAAGCCAACTACACAAGAACAGTGTGCTATAGCCAGAATTCAAGCTTTAAATGACAAATTCCTGCAACTCGAGACCTCCAACAAGTCCTAAACAGAGCATAAGTGTTCCTAAGCTGCAGCTGCATGTCTAAAAAGGGCCCCTGGAGAATTGCATCACCATCATTCCTCTCTACTCTGGAAGAGGCTGGCAAGAGTGAAGCTGATGGTCATCTGGGCTGCAGGACATTGAAGGCAACACTCTGTCCCCTTACCTGTGAGCCACACTATGGCATCAGGTGACACGCCAAGACCTTTTAAGTACATTTATGGATTTTCACTGCATGCCTTTCCTGTTTGTCAGCCTGCTTTCAGCTGCAGATACACTGACATGTGAATTCAGGAAACCCTGTGACAAGCCACAGCGCAAAGAGAAGTCTGCCCTGCTCAGTTAACCAGCCTCAAACTTCCTGTCTGTCTCTTACTTTGTGACAAAGTTACTGACAGACTCCATCTGTGTCTTAAGTCTTGAGGAGGGCAGAGCAGCATGCTTACTGATGAGTCAGACCCACTCCAGACCGTGTGGATGACAGCCGGATGGACATCAGTTGGTGAGTTCAATAAAAGTTCAGCAGCCTTTTATTTGTCAAAACAAGCGCTGGATGCTGCAGATGAACCCACCTATAAAAACATCACACACATAAAAGCAATGCTTTTCTAGTATCCCTTACCGAAGTGGATCCAGAGGACGATGCTATGTACACTTTGATCACCATGTTAAAATCCCTGGTGCTGACACGAGTCCGGTAAGCAGCGGTTAGTTGCCCTGCTTCCTCTAGCAGAGACTTTGCAAGGCGGATCGCTCGGCAAGCGGGACGAAATAACAACAACAACAAAGTTCCCCAGCTGAAAGGCTGAATGTGTGTGTGTCTAATGAAGGCAGCGCAGGCTATCTGCGCAAATGCTCCTGTTCTCAGCACTGGATGGAGCTTCACATTCCTCCTCCGCCTCTACTCTGCCTCCCCGCCCCTTACAGTCCCTCTCTCTCTCTCTCTGTGGAGCCAGGACACACACTCTGAGGCACGTTCACGCACACACCCACCCACCCACACACACACACACACACACACACACACACACACACACACAGGGGCAGTGGGCCTATCATGACGGCAAGACAGCAGGGTTATATTGTCTCAGTATTTCAGCATCGACCCCATTGTCTGCAAGCCACCACGCACTGGCTATTGTCCTTTGAAAGAGCGCAAAGTGCACCATCCCGTGTGTTTAAATAAATGCTGGTGTGCTAAGTTGGATGTTAAGATTAAAAAAATAAATGTGCTGTGATTTTGAACACTTCTGGGCGCTTTTGTGTAACAGCACAGCCTCTTTAAGCGCCGTCTTGTGCAGCCACATCATTAGACGGGCTTTGTGGGCCCCCTGCAGGCGTCTGGGGCAGACGACAGGAGGCTTTTCTCTGAAACGAATTTAGGAAAGCCGACTGACAAACAAAAAAAAAATGTGTCGGAGAGGAGTGGGCGCCATATTGGACTCAAACACGAAGTGAATTTATGGTGAAATTTCTGCTCGCTGGCCGCTGCAGATGTGGGCACTGCTTTGCACGGCTCTACAGTGGGGCATGTTGGCCGCCGCCGGGGCCTGTATAACGGTACACGGCGGCCCGCCGCGCGATCCCTTTCTCGCTGTAATGAAACACACTTGTGTGGAGGCAACATGTCCTCGAAGGCAATCCTTTCATTCTTGCAGGCTTCCTCCCATCTCTCCCTGCAAGAAGCCATTCGCGCAGACCTCAGAACATCACCGGCTCCAAAATTCCAAGTGTTCTGCAGCCCCGAATGGCGTCACCTGATTGGCCGAGAGCCTATCAATCATGCCTTTAGCCGCACCCCTCCCCCCATTCAACCACTCGCCTCTCTGTTCCAGTGTGTTTACTACACTGCCGAGCATAAGGGAGACACTCGTCTTCACATGCACTGAACCCACTAAGAAAAACAGTTTTTAGTTGTATTTGTAAGAAAACCTCCAAGAGATCAACATGCCCAAGAGAAAGGTACGTATTCTCAAAATAATAAAAATAGTTTGAGGGGGATAGCAGCTATTAATGCATTGCAAACGATTGTGAAGACATCCCTCTGAGACATTACTTAATTATAACATAACGGATAATCGTTATTTGTCGCTGGGAATTTTTGCCTATATTCTGTATATAATGTACATTTTTTATGCGTCAGAATTAATATTTTCCCGCTCGGACACGGCCTTTAAAACGCAATTTCTTGTCAGAGCCGCTGTCCTTTGGGGAGTCAGAAGTCTCTCTCGGTCTCCATGCAGTTAAAGCACAAGCAGCAGCCATGCTTTGCAGCTCTTGTCCACCTTCGTCGCCGACCTACCGAGAACAAACGCTTCACTTATCGCGGTTTCGCCACCAAACCGGCCAAAAGTGCCACCAGAAAATGCTTTAGTGCCTTTACTTTGCATTTTGGCCGCAAAAACAAACACTCGCCGTCGCGTTTCGATAAAATTGTATATTTTCTCTCTTTGTTCATAGTCCCAAATGGCTGCGATGGCGTGGCTCTGCCGCCGGGTGGCGCGCGTGAGCCTTAAGCAGGTCCCTCCCCCCTCTCAGAGACTCCCGCGCCAGCTTTCAAATCTGAGCTTCATGCATTGAATGAGAGAAAGAGACGGGGGAGTGAAAGGGAAAAGCAGGGCCTGGGCCCTCAAAATATGGCTCCAGAGGCCCACATGGCTGAGCTCTCACAGCCCAGTACTAAAATCATGCATTACCACCACATTTCTGGGCTGAAATCCTTTAAAATGACCTGTATTTGAAATAAAATTTTATATTTGCATGAAACCAAAAAGTTTTCTCATCAGGTCTGTAATTATTTGTAATATGCGCATGAGGCATTTAACAATAGTTCCTTGTGAATATAAACACGGTTTAAAGCAGTAATGCCATTTTAATTTTTTTTCTTCTGATTTTAACCTGCTGTATTTGTATTTTTCAGAACGCATCAGCAACAGGAGACGAAAGGGATGAGGTAAGAGAGGTGCATGTTAAATAACATCTCACACATGTGATTAAAATTAAAATTACATTAGTATAAGGAACATGTGAGGGAATTATCAGGAAGCAAGTACTGGTATTGAATTCGAAGGTGTGTTTCCTGCATACAGTCCGAATTGGAATAAAAGCCCTTTTGATAACAGTCTTTGTTCTGTTTCAGCCCCAGAGGAGATCAGCTCGGTTATCAGCGGTAAGAAGATGCATACAAACACAACCAGCGAATTTACATGAACAAATACAGTTAAAAACAAGTTACATGTGGTAGAACGCTTAAAAGTAGTTGCACACATAAATAAAGCAAAATTTTGCCTTTAGAGTAGCAAAAATGATATAAAAATAAGCTTTCTTTTTATTAAACACTTAAATTTGATTCCTAGGAGTATTGAACTTCAAAAAATGTTAATTTTACATAATTAAGTTGAAGAATTAGTTAAGATTGTGCACATAGTGCATTAGGCAGTAATTAAGTTGTCAGAAGTACATTAAAACTAATATAATATTCATTATACATGATTTAGGAAGGTTTTTGCTTGTAAAAAGTGCAGGGCTGTTATAATACATACTTTATATCAAAAGTGGGCACAGTAGAGTGCATCAGATTTATTTTCTTACAGTATAATGTCTAAATTCCTTCATAAACCCAGCTAGGAGCCATCATATTAATGTCATAACACCTTAGACAGTGTCTGTATTAAAATAAGTTTAATTGTTGAGAAAATTTTACATCTTGACTCATTGTCAGGGATTTAAAATGTCTCATGGGAGCCAAAGTTGTCTAGTACCTTGAGAATAACTAGAACAATGGCAAATTAGCAAACAAAGCACTAACAGACAGTTTGTGTAGCTGTTTCTTGATCTCTTTCCTTCTCTCCATCACAGAGACCGGCCCCACCCAAGCCGGAACCAAAGGTCAAGAAAGCAGCAAAGGTAAGAGGCGCTCGCCTTGATTCTGACCGAACATGCAACATAAAGCAGAAGACACAGGTTGTGTGTGTGAAAGAGAGTGTGCTAACAGCCTGTCTTGTGGCCCCTACAGAAAGAAAAGGCTGTGAACGACAAGAAGGAGGACAAGAAGACCAAGAAGGCAAAGGAGAACGCAGAGGCGGAGGCAAACGAGGAAAACCACTCTGAGAACGGAGAGGCCAAGACCAACGAGGTGGGTAGACTTTTAGACGTACGTGCACAACTTTGACTTAAAAAGGCGCAAAGTTTTGACCTTGACTTGTCCGCTGTGTCCCACAGGTGGAGGCAGCCCCCGAGGAGGCCAAGGAGGAGGCCAAGTCCGAGTAGCACCACTGCCCAAGCTTCCTCCTCCTCTACAATCCCCCCTTCCCCCCCTGAACCCCAAGCCAGCCAGCCAGCCCCCCCAAGTCTCTCACATGGTTTCCCTCCAAGGCGTATTGTTAACAGAGGAATATTTTTATCAATGATTTTATAAGTATCCGTACAGATTTTTAGCACAAAACGCAAAGCTGATTATGGAGCGCCTTGCAGATTTGCAGTGGTCATATCAAGTGTCTGCAAGCAAGATGAACACACTAAAATCTTTTTTAAATGGCATTTCATGATTGTTGAAGGCTTGTTTGGTGTAGAAAGTGCGTCCCTTGCCGGATTGGCTATGTTGTGAGTTGTGTATTCCTGTGTTTTTCCTCCTTCCCCCGCTCTCCCTTCCTCCTCCTCCTCCCCTCTTCTTCCTCCACAGATTAGACCTTCCTCCCCCTTACAGTTCAGCCTTTATCCATGTTTTATTAACGGTTCAGCCATGTTAATGTGGGTGATTCTTTTAGACCTCTAAATGTGCAGTGAGTTCCCTTTGCTTCTGTCTCTTGTTTTTTTTTTTTTTTTCATTGAAATCGTGTTTAAAAAAAAAAAAAAAGCGTGTTGAAGCGTGTTGTCCATAAGAAAGAGGAAGACGAACATGTGAAACATTCCGGGAACAGCGATGGCCTCCGACCTGTCTCCTCGACAGCCCTGCGTGTGAAACAGCTCCTGCTCCATCCACGCTGTCATGTCAGCTTTTCTAAACACTATGGTTTTTTTAAACGGTCGAATTTGGAAACCCTCTCTGACAAATGCAGGTGTCTGGTCCCTCTCTTATGTTCTGAAATTCTCTTAATAAAAACAAGTCCTGGGAATTTTCCTCGATATCATGCGTCTGGAGTTTGTTTCTTTGAGAGAGAGAGAGCGATGGAAGTTTTAGGTTCCACATCACCACACCTTAAGAGCCAATGAATAAAAGTAAAAAGGGATTTATGACTTTCGTTAGCATGGATCTTTAACTGAAGTCAACCTTGGTAATGGCTCAGGGTGCTTAGATCTTTTTGTAGGTAAAGCAATAATATATCATCAGGAAACGAAAATAAAAAGCTGTTTTGTAGCCTTAAGGCCTGTATTCAGCCTAGTTTGAATGCAGTTTTCTTTATAAATCACCTGTTTCAGTGTCTAGCCATAAAGAAATATGTTACGTCAGACCTTTGATGCACAGGTTGCATCCGTTTTAATGCACCCAAGACATAAAGCAGGCCCGAGGCAGCCGCAGTGACCTCTGACTAAATGAAACATGCCTGTAATGTAATTTCACTGTAGACAAATCCAACCTGTCCTTTGAGGCTGCTGCTGCTGCTGCTGCTGCTGCTGCAGGATACCGATTCTCAACGGAGGCATTTGCTTTGTCAAATTAAACAGCGGAAGTTTGCTGATCCTCCATACTGCAGGTGGGTACTTGTCAGCTGGGGATTTAAACCAACAGGATTTACTTCACAGATCTGTAGCTGCAGATCCTCAGGGAGGTCAGGTCAACAGAAGGTCAGCTGGGACACTATTATAAGATTTCCAGATAAGGACAGTGAGTCTTACATTTAATCTCCATTCTTTGTCCTTTAAGAATGATTCAGTCTTGTTGTGAGTCATTGAAATGCCCAAATAGAGGACATCATACCCAACAACTGAATAAAAACCCTCCTGAAGCCTGTACCTTGCATGCCCGTCTTGTAGCCATCACAAGACAGAAGGAAGTTACAGAACAGAGGCCTACACCCACTGAAGGGGCAGACAGTGTCTATCCACCCCATGTCTTTATTCCCCTTCAGGCATCACACATTCAGATTTAACTCTACATGAACTCGAGCGTGAGTGCTGTGACCCACATTCACCTCACACAAAATATCACCGATTTATTCAAGAGCATCGCACAAAGAGGGCTCCATATTTAGTGTATACATACACAGCTGCATGCATTAGTTCATGTTAAAAGCCTGGCAGGAGCAGGCATAAGGAAATGCAAGTAGTCTATTAAGCAAAGACAGTTTGAAAGGGGGGACTTTTTGTGGGCTTTTGTGTGTGTGTGCACTTGCCTCCAGCATTGACAGTGTGTGAATGCATTTGCCATGTGCTCTGAAGCACAAACCTCACTGGGTGTGCGTCAAAACATGTAAGTGAACTGTTTTTTATTATATAGTGCAAACGTTTTGCAATTTCCCTCTATATAAAAAAAAAGATGAAGTAATATTTGATTATGTGCAGCTGGCTGCAGCAGGCCTTCTGTCTTAAAGACGGGCGCTTATGGGTTTTTATTTAACCTTGAATCACTGCCGGCATTTTGCACAGAATATGGCGCTATGTTGGCTTTCCTCCGCTATTTTGTGCAGCGGTTGCAGCCCCTCTGACCTGCATTGTCATGGCCGAGCAACGGGCTCCATTTTGTCGATATTTTTGTTGTGTGCAGAGCGTTATTGCATCGCGCCGCCACTAGATAGCAGCCTTGTCTTATATTTCCTCCTGCAGACACACACATACAGGCGCTGTGCTCATGGCAGCCTGTCGACCTTTGATTAGCCTCACATTTTATTAACTGATACATTAGAAGTGTTATTATTTTTCCCGAGGCAAATTACAGAGAATCAATGAATAATAGCAAAAAGATCACAGGGATCATAATACAAAGGAGCTTCAAAAGTGGATCCCTCCCGGCTTAAAAAAAAGAAATCCAATTTCCTTTTTTTTATTCACGTACTTTCTTTTAATCCTCTGTCAGCATCAACCTGTATTCAGCCAGACGGTTCAATTAAGAGCAAATTTTCAAACCCAGTGTATGCATTCAGCATCCTCTGAGTGAGATCTATTGATGGAGTGCAGTGATGTGATGGGGAAACTAAAGGAAGCACATTATGGGAAGTTTCTGATCTCGGTGGTCTCTCTCTCTTTCATCTTGTGATTTTCCTCCTCTCCTGCACCTTCATTGATCCGTCCATTCATCCTGTCTCCTGTGATCAGCCCTCTAGACTCTTTAACGGCTTTGATACTGAGATGCAGACACACACACGCACACACGCGCAGACATACAGTCCTCTCCCCTGAGGCATTTTGACATCAAAGAGCTAATTACTCCAATATTATTTTATCTCTCGTCTGTGCATGCATGCTGCCTGGCCTGTCTGAACCGAATGTTTGTCTGCCTGCTTAACTGTCTGTCTGACCATCTGCCAGTCTGCACCTCATCCCCTTTTCACTGTCTAGTAATCACAAGGGAGTTGTGCGCCCCCCCACCCACCCACCCACCCCCTCTGGTGTGCACTCTCATTCTGTCCTCTCTCTCTGATGGGTTATGATATGTTGACTAAAATAGCCCCTTTTCCCTTTTTAAACATGCGCATATCCTATTCTGTCATCCCACGCATTTGTAGCCGTTGTCTCCTCCCCGCACTCATCCATTCACATCCACTGTCCACATCACTCTGCTCAGGGTCTCGCACGCATGCAGGGCGGAGAGAATGAGTGTGTGAGCGACTGTGCGTATTTTTGCACACACACACCCTCCCATGGTGTGTAGTACGAAGTGGCGGGATGGGGGTGGGGATTCTCTGCGTAAAAGATGAGGATGACCTTTTACGAGGAAGTGATTTAAATGATGTCCTGTCATCACCAGGGATACCGGTGTGTGAATGTGGATGAGCTTTTGTTGTGGAAAGCACGTCACACCAGGCACATGCTTACACACACACACATCAGAGAGAGTGAGAGATAGTTGCCAACAGGTACATATTCACATTTTGCGTAGAAACAGCCTGAGTCAAATGTCCTCCCTGCAGACCGGACCTTAGTGATGCTTGAAATTAACAGATGTTTAGTGGCAAGGTTCTCTGCTGTGCTACTCTGAGAGGATGTTGCTGTCTGGCTGTCTTAAATTGTTTGTGTTCGACTGTCTTGTTTATCTGCGAGGCTGGCTGCACCCTACGGGGGTGGGATGTACAAGAGCGAGTGAATGGGAAGAGGCAGGGTGAGAAGGAGAGGAAGAGAAAGTACCGGGAGGTGAGGAAGGAGAGAGGGGGGTGCTGGGAGGGGGGGGCGGGGATGCAGGGGGAGAAGAGCTGGATGCAGATGGGGATCTATTCTCTCCGCGCACGCAGACAAGATGGAAATGAGTGGGCGTCTGTGACGTCAATCAGTGTAGACACACACACACACACACACACACACACACACACAGTGAGACACTCCCCTCCTCTTCCAGTCCCATGCTAATACATGCTTCACTGCAAACAGCAGCAATGCCACGGATCACAGGCATAAACATCAGCGCACACACAAACACCACCACCAAATGCAAACATGAGCATACGCACACACAGACACGCAGATCTGAGTTTCATGTCTAACCAGGCTGCTGATGTCAGGCTCATTCATAGTAAAAAAAAAAAAAAAAAAAAACAAGAAAAAAGAAAGAAAGAAAGAAAAGAAAAGAAATTGTGCTTGAGTCATGGTAAGAAGATAACGTCAGTCTTAAACGTTTTCATCCACAGGTCAACATGTAGCTCATTCATAAAACTAAGGGCCAAAGAATCAGAAGAATCGATGGTTATTGTACATGTATAACCCCAAATGACGGAGGATGTACTAAGAGTACTTTACTACCACTAAAAGTACCCAATGTATTGTCATAGAACAGTTGGTATGATATCCTACAAATTTGTGCCTCACCACAGCAGCCTAAAGCACCAACACCACAGTGTAAAACTACTCCATTACAAGTAAAAGTCCTGCATTCAAATCATACTTAAGTTTTTTAGTTAAAAAAAAAAGTAAAAGTACTTGCTCTGCAGAAAATGTCCCTTTTTATAGGTTATTTCTATACGATACTATTAGTACATACTGCTGCAATATATATTTGGGGGGTTGTGAGATGATGAATAGGGTAGGAAAGAAGAACTGCACAAATCTGTAACAGTATTTCCATTTCTCTAGTCTTTTATCAGTTAGACGCAGTGCAGCATAAATACTCCCTCTGAAGCGTAGTGAGTAGACATATAAGGTGGTAGAAATATACTCAAATATAAGGACCTCAAAATTGTACTTTGTTACGGTATTGAGTAAATGTACTTTGGCACTATTCCCCACTGTTAACCCATCTAAGATTAAAAGCAACAACAACAAGAATGGTCAAATATCAAAGCAGCAGAAACCGAGATATTCTGACTTTTAGTTTATAGTATGGCAACCTGTTTGAATTCCCTGGGCATCAAATATGGCAGCTTTGTTAGAGGCCATCAGCGTTTGATTTTGAGATACAAAGCATCCTTTAGCACAGTGGTACTCAACTTGGCAGCCAAGGGATCAAGATTTGGCACTATCTTTTAAAATAAGGTGTATTTTTTAGAAAGTTGATATGTTTGCAAGTCACTTGCGGTCCATTCAGAATGGACCACGACCCACCAGTTGGGAACCACTGTTTTGGCATCTGTATGAGAAGTACCAGGCTTTCAGAGAACTCCAGCGTAAACCCATCCACGGCAATAATTTAAAACAAAGAGCAAGAAAGTCCGAGTTGGGCAAGAGGAAAGAGTGGGTCCTCAAACATAGGACTTTCACCTAAGAGACTGGTGAGGCATGTTGAGGTTTTTGTAACTACCTTAGAAATATCACGACATGTGTGTCATGTGGTATAGTTGTTGACTTAAGTGAAGCAACAAACATACTTATTTTAACCGAAACTATCATATTTTTTAAAACCAAACCAAGTAATTTTGTTGCCTAAACCTTAAAGGGATAGTGCACCCAAAAATAAAAATTCAGCCATTATCTACTCACCCTCATGCCGAGGGAGGCTCTGGTGAAATTTTAGAGTCCTCACAACACTTGCGGAGATCCAATG